CCCCAGGCTGTGCTAAGGCTAATGCTAAAGGCGGAGCAGGCAGCCATTAAGACTATAAGTCCTCTGGAGTGGAGCTGAAGAGGCTGCCTGCTGCTTTTCAAAATCCCCCCAGGAGCATGTTCTCACTTTCTGTCTTTTACATCTCTCTCATCTTTTCCAGGCTCTCTTCCTCCCTCTGCACCCTCACTTTCACTTGTCTTGTGAATATCTGTTCAGCTGATGATTTATCCCTTAACTTTTCCATTTTTCTCTCATCCTGTCTTCTTTAAAAAAAAAAAATCTCATCCCTCTCTGTGTTTGCCTTTTTTTTTTTTTGCTTTTATTCATTCCTTTTGTGTGTGGCTCTTTCTCCCTGTCTCTTGCCCACTTTTTCTCCCTTTAAAGTGGAGGCAGTATATTGTGGCCTAGTAGAAAGCTTGTCAGCTCAGTGGTCATTAAGTAATCATTAGACTATTTTAAAAAAAAAGAACCCAAAGTCTTAGGCAGAGACCCAGCAGCACCTCTGGCGTTCACACTTCTGCCTCATTAAAATTAATGTATCTACAGGTTAGTCTGTTGAATATTCATGTAAGCATCAGGTGATTAGAGAGACTGGCATAAATGACTGTAGGGCAAAGAGGTTATGACTGATCAATACAAAGACTGTGATGAAGGCACAGGACGAGAGGGTTGAATCAGATTTTTTTTTTTTAACCTGAAACTCGATGTATTAAAAGACTTCACCTAAAGCGGCGACAGCACAAAACACACACGCAAGAAAAGAAAAAAAAGGAAAATGAGCTGCAATTTTCTCCCTTGACAAAGAAAAAAGGATAACTTTTTTCTTTGATTTACCATCTCTAGTTGTATTCTCCTCTTCTCAGCGCTCGGCCGGGCAGTTTTGTAGATCCTTTGAAGTTATCCTAAAATTTTGTTACGAGCGTGTGCTTGTGTGAGCTGTGGTTGGTATGCTCTGATGTGCCACAGTAGCATCCTTAGCTGTACACTTCTCCTCCCCCTGGACTCAAACTTGTTTTCATCTGCTATGCTTCATAAACAACAATTGTGCAGTGCTGCTTTTGGGATTTGCAGTGCACTTTGCTATCCCCCCCTTTTTTTTGCATCAAAACTGGGCTGTTGTTTGTAGCCTTTATGTACTTGCCTCCACTGATGACTAAATGGAATAAAGACAGTTTTGTCTCAACTCTGCACTTTCCTGTAGCTATTAAACCAGACAATATCCGCACACATGGAGAAGGGATGAGATGAGGGTTCAGTGAGCCAATTAGTGTGACTGCACTGTGTGGATTTGTGTGTACTGTAATGACTGTACATGCCCAGCAAACTGCTGAAACACAGTATTTCCAGTAGAGCCGAGACAATTGTGGACTGAGCCGTGCTCTGTCTCTCATTACATCTCCATTTCATCAAGTAAAATTCGTTTCAGGCTTTCTGTGGAGCAAAAATCAGACTTTTTGATTAAACGTTATTCAGTCATGGATGCTGATGTAAGGTTTAACTGAGTCGTGGGTTTTTTTGTTGTTTTTTTTTACTTGAGGATGAGCTCACTGACTTTCTTAAATATATCCTGGCCACCCTTGTTGATCATGAAGAAAGCGTTGCCCTGGAAACCACAGAGGCAGGTGAACAGTGCAAGATGCTGTCAACGTTAATGCTCAAGGTTAAATAAAAAATTGTTATGTTTATTCCATGAGTTTAAAGAAGAGAATTCAAGTGTTACTACATAAAGAATTCCGTGCGTTGCTGTTCACACCCGACTAACAACTTGACTGGCACGTGAACTAATGCGGAGCAGTGAGAACAAGTGTTTCCAATTACGGATTTGTCTTACTTCGTGGATGAACCCTTGAGGCTTATTAAAGAAACGCTGTAGCAAAAAGCGTGTGATGACAGTTAAAAAAAGGTATCGACAGCCTTGCTGACACACAAGACTGCAGAACTACTCTCGCTGTTTAGGGAATGCACATAGATGATAAGCATCCTTGTTAACAATCAACGCTTGAACTGCCTCCCTGTGCTGGTTTTCTTCCCACAACATAATGAATCTTCCCCCATCAGTGCTGCACATAAAAAAGCACTGCACACTGTACGCACATCATCCTGAATTTTTAGCTCGTCTGCTGCTTGCGTCAGCACATGCACTCTTGCTAGGAATGGCTATAGTGTAGCTGACAGAAGGAACTTCGCTCTCTGTGGGAATGGACACGTGTCAGGATTTGACAGGCTGATCTGTGAAGTCGCTTTCACAGCATGAGGATTCTGCAGGGAGCGGAGACTTTTAAGATGTTTTGGCATATGAAAAGATGCATTTTCTTTCCTTTAATTTTGCTTTCTGCTTTTGCGCTCATTGTTCTCAGATTTTCTTTTTCTTCTACTTCTTTTCCTTTGTTTTGGTTGGGGTTTTTTTTGTCCCTTCAGTGTATGCTTGACTGAGCAATAATAACTTGTAATAGCTCATGATGCTACCTAATAGCTCTTAAATAATTAGCCTATTTTAGATTTTTAAATGGCATATCTGTAAACACTGATGTATGAAAGAAGGCTTTCAGCCCCCAGTTTTTCTCCTGGCTGCCGATTCAAACTTCAGAATGGAAATGGCAGAGAATCGCTTTGTCCTGTGCCAATCCAATCCTGCATGGTTCCACTTCAGGAGGTTCGGAAGTAATTCTCCTGAAAAAAAAAAGAAAAAGAAAAAAGGATTGCCAGGATTCCACAGGGCTCTACCGCAATTCCGGATAGGGACATTGTCGGGCTTCCTCCCAAGTCTAGTGGGTACAGAGGTAAAGGGGCAATGATGATGACTAATTTAAGATGTTAGCTTTACTCTTACGCAACATGGTGGTCTCACAACGTCTTGTAGACAGGCGTCTTTTGAATGCAGCTAAACACACGCATACTGAATGTACGTGGCAGCCTTGAAATATCACAAACGGCTCTCATTTTAGCATGCTTGCCAATCTGTGGATAAGGATGAGCCTCTCTAGGCAGATGGCTATGACCCTAGGCAGTCAATCATTCAGTCAGTCATAGCAAAGCCTACCGTGAGCTAGAAGGGTGCATGAATTTGGGGATACAGAAGGTTGTTTTACAAAGGAGAAACATAAAAAGGAATTGGGAAGCTTTAAAAGGAGGTCAGATATAGTTCAAGTTATCAAACAGGAAACAAAATGTACATGACAACTCATTAACATCTAATTAATACAAATGCACTGCATATTGCACATCATATCTGTTTTTATTTACAGTTTTGGGTTTGTTTGTTTTTACAGATATGCCTGACTCTCAAAGCATCAATACCCAAATTTTCCTTTGAAAATGAATTTTTCAATAAAATCTTTCTTTTAACTTGGGGGAAAAACAAATGTCAAACTGTGCTTCCATCTCAAAATATAAAAAAGGTTTGGAAATTTTCGGATGGAGGATAAGTGGAAAAAGAATATGGATGTCATCCAGCATTTTATGCCAGCTTTAGGTACTCGACAGTTTTTGATATTCAGTGGAACAGATGCATTGCAGCATTGCCAAAACTGTAGGTTTGAGAATCTATGGTGCTATTTGTGTTCTCAAGTATATGATATCTAAGTATCAATTTTTTTATTTTTTATTTTTTATTTTTTTTTGGGGGGGGGGGGGGTTTGTTCTGTTTTTTTTTTGGGGGGGGGGGGGGTTGTGTCTGTTTAATCTTTATGTTGTTAATTACAATAAAAACGGCATCTATAGATAGATTACAACAGGCAGTTTTTTTAAAACTGCTGTTTTAATCCATCCAGAAATCACCCATGTCCTTTAGATAATGCTAGCTGATACCTCAAAATGTCTTTTACACTCATTCTGGTGTGAAGAAAGATGGCATTTCCTCAAGATGCATGTCTATAGCTGCTAACATGTATGAAATCTGTTTCCCTGCACACGGGTTTTACCAGTCAAATTGTTGTTGTGCAGATAAGATGGTTAAAACTAGTTATAGAGGTGGTGTGCCAATTCCACTGGGGAAAAACTGCTAAAAAATAAACTATAAATGCACAACTATGCAGACCTGTTTGGCTTAATGTATGAATATTTGATTGCTTGTAAGTACCCCTGTTGTTATGATTGTTGAAGACAGATCTTCACTGCATTATAACAAGTATTTTCAGGTCTCATGTAAATTACAGAAGCTCTTACATCATGAAAAAATGTGCTTTTCACGACAGGAACGGAAAATTATGAGGTGCAGGTGGACATAAGATGTATGAAAACACACGATTTCTGTCCTTGTGTTTTCATACATCCTATGACAAGGATGTACATGTCTACATGCATCTTTGTGGTTTTCTACATACTTTGTGCTCAACTAATCCCTCTCCCCCCAGGCATTTGACAGTGGGACTCTGGTTGCGGTCACACCTGATGTACCTGCAACTAATCCTATCGCACAACCAATGTCACTGTAACCAATCCTGTCACAGCACTCAGGGCAGCCTCAGTTCCTTCCTGACATCTCAGTCACACCTCACTGTCGTCTCCTTCCTCTCCTATCTGCTCTCTTCCCTCCTTGCTTGACTTTATAAATGGATCCCTACTTC